TTTAAGAAGGCCCTCTTGTCTCTCCTTGCTATTCTTTTGAAGTCTGCTTTCCATTTTCTGTAACTTTCCCTTTCTCCCTTGCATTTTGTTTCTCTGACTAGCCCAGTGGTTTTTCCTACTCTCTTCAGTTTAAGCTTGAATTTTTCTATGAGAAGCTGATGATCAAAGTCACAATCAGCTCCATGTCTTGCTTTTGCTGACTCTATAGAGCTTCTCCATCTTTGGCTGCAAAGAATATAATCAATATGAATTCAGTATTGCCCATCTGGTGATGTTCATGTGTCGAGTCGCCTCTTGTGTTGTTGGAAAGGAGCATTTGTGATGACCAGCTTGTTCTCTTGACAAAACTCTGTTAGCCTTTGACCCGCTTCGTTTTGAAGTCCAAGGCCAAATTTACTGTACATGTGATTCCTTTTATCTCTTGACTCCCTACTTTAGCATTCCAATCTCCTAGAATGACAAGAACATCTTTCTTTGGTGTCAGTTCTAGAACGTGTTGTAAGTCTTCATGGAAGTGGTCAATTTCAGCCTCTTCAGCATTGGTGGTTGGTGCATAAACTTGCATTACTGTACCTTAGGAAAATTTCAAAAAGCCAAACACATGAGCTTTGTAGTCCTTAGACTCAATATGCTGAACAGGTTAGGACTCAGTAGCAAAAAGTGGCCTAAATTCCCCCTCAGGTGACACTATGACAGTTTTACTGTTCAAGAGACCAATTGATTTTTATGGTTATTATTTTATTAAAGAAAATAGAAAATTCCATGAAGAAAAGTCAGTTTATGCATAAGCAAGCAAAAGATCATTTTCCAGGTTGGTTACAAAATAGCAATGAAGCAATAAATCCATAAAAACACAAAAACACTGAAAACACTAAAAATCCCAAAAATCCATGGAAATATATAAAAAGCTATTTAAGGGAAGGCAAAAAGGCAATAGCCCTCCTCCTTCTAGAATTCCCTACATTTTGCACTATCCTTTTCACTTGCACTGAGTAGCAAGCAAACAGACCTAGAAAAACTACATAGTCCAAAAAGGTAATCCACAGGAAAGAATTCAAGAATGAATCAAAGTATGTCCCAAAGTATGTCCACAGTAAAAATGAATAAATCCAAGCGAGAAAAAGAATGAATAATGAATCCTGAACCCCGAATCAATGAATCCCCCTCCATAGTAAAAAAGCTTCGTTGACACATCCCTTATCTCCCGTCTCTCACGCTGTCAGCCAATCACGGCAGGCAGTCAGGTAAACAGTCCCTCTTTATCGTCTCTCTGCTCGGCTGTGTTCTCTTCCCATGGGTAACAGGTGCTGTTGTCATAGTCCGCCAAAGTATGATGTGGCTGCAAAAAAATAAAAAGGCACCTGCAATTTTAGGATGCATTAAGAGAACTGTACTCTCCAAATCCCATGAGATGTTCATTCCACTTTTATTCAGCACTGGTGAGGCCTCACCTTGAATTCTGTTCTGGACATCACACTTCAAGAAAGATGCTGACAAACTGGAATAATTTCAGAGGAGGGCGACAAGGATGATCAGGAGACTGGAAACCAAAACCTAGGAGGAAAGAATAAATGAACTGGGCAGGTTTAGCCTTGAGAAAAGAAGACAGAGGGGAGACAGGAAAGCACTTTTCAGATACTTAATAGGTAGTCCTACAAAGAGGGGCAGAATCTGTCTTTCATCATCCCAGAGTGCAGGACACGCAGACATGGTTTCAAGGTACAGGAAGCCAGATTCCGGTGGAATAGCAGGAAAAACTTCTTAACTGTTAAAGAAAGGAATTTAATTTATTTTTAAAAAGATAATATTTTGAACTCAGTAATAAAAATTCTAAGCTACTAGCAAAAGATACTCAATTTAAAAAATTAAGGTAATATAGAAGTGGCGGAGCACCAGGAGAAGGTGTAACAAAGTGAAATAAAAGTTTGAAGTAATCCAAGGTTTTTATTTAAAACAGACAAACTATATACTAGTAAAAATCCATTTATAGACAAAATTTAAGAAACTGTTGGAAGAGGATGGGGTAGAATGGAACAATTAATTACTAAGAGCGAAATAGAGGAAATAATAAATATATTGAAGGCAGGGAAAACACCTGGAACAGAATTAGGTTCACAATACTATGAAATATATTTTTGGTTGTTGTAGGTTTTTCGGGCTGTTTGGCCGTGTTCTGAAGGTTTTTCTTCCCCAGTCTCTGTGGTCGGCACATCCTTCAGAGGATCCCACAGTTACAAATACTCAACAATCCCACCCACTATACCAGAACACAGACAGAAATCTAGCTCCTATCCTCTGAAGATGCTGGCTCCCTGATTAGGCATCCTTCAGGCTTGAGAGACTAGGGTAACGTGCACTGTATCCATACTTGGAGTGTCCTCTCCAGGGCATGAAGCCTGGGTAAAATAATATGGAGGATAGGCTATTAGCTACCCGAGCAGCAGATCCCCCCTCTCCACATTGCTGAAATGGTCCAATGGAAAGGCAAGAGTCAATACAACTGGTTCT